AAGTAGATGGTGATGATGGTGGTGATTAAAGTAGATGGTGATGATGGTGGTGATTAAAGTAGATGGTGATGATGGTGGTGATTGAGTAGATGGTGATGATGGTGGTGATTAAAGCAGATGGTGATGATGGTGGTGATTAAGTATGGTGATGACGGTGGTGATGTTGTCAGTTGATGTTGATGGTGTCATTGGGGTTGGTGATGATGATGATGATATGATGGTAAAATGATTAGTGATTATAAACTGATGTTGATGGTGGTATGGAGATTTTGGTCATATCTTCTGATGTTTCTAACTGTAATAATAATGATAATAAAGATGATAACAAAACAGTTTGATCACAAATTTTGTATAAATGACAAAAAAAAAAAGTTAACCATCAGAGAAAGGAATGTAGTTGAATACCTTAATTGGATGTCTTATAGTGCTGAATAAATTTAATCTTGACGTATCACGAACTAGAGATGGTTTTCCTAGCCGAGCTTCCACAAACCTTTCCAAATTTCACAAAAACATAATCTGAATTAGATATTCTAAAATTAATTTTAATTACACTGTTCATTTGTTCATCTCTCCTTTTCTCACTGGACTTTGAAGATGACTTCCGCTCAGGTTGTTGAAATGTCAGTCACCACCAACAACAGTCTTACTTGAGACTACACTCACCCTGATGATCACATTTCACAACAAATATTTGACAAGTAGAAAAGACATGCAATTTTCATTCCACATATTTGCAAAGGTAGCCTAATATGCCTTTTGCAATAGATTGACACACGATCGTTACTGGATGGCAAAAAAATTTGGGCTTCCTTTCATTAAACATTTTTTGCTGGATTACCAATGTCATATATTCCAAAACCTTTTCCAAAATACTTTTTTCCCTTAATAATTTCAATTTCAAGATACAAAGCAGCTTAAAGCTTGTTTGCCATCCAGCAGAGCCTTCTCCAAGGGACCTTGAGCTGAATTGATTCATTATCAAAGTCATATTTCAGCACGTGACTGTTTGTTGCAAAAAAACCTATTGATATAAACCCAAGAATGAGAAATCAGAGTGACTATTACCTTGCTGTGACTCCAGTACCATATTTAGCAGCATAAACACCTAATGCTAACAATGTCAAGCCAGCAGCCTAAAACAGAAGGTAGAAAAAGGTAATATACCAATCAATATCAACAACGTAGATAAAATAATAACAGGTGGCTCTCCTACACTTGGAAGGCATCTTAGACATATTCTGAAACTGCACATTTTTTCACTTACTGTTGCTGAAATCTTATCCCAATCTGATATAAAAGCATCAAACCCTGCCCCAAGGATTGAACCAGCTGTCCTGTTAAAGCATGGAGAGAAAGAAAGGCTTAGCCGAAGATCAATAACAAATATAATAATTTTACTACCAATCCAATATTGTAATCAGTCCAGATATTGATAACAACTCTTAAATCTTGGCTACCCAAACAAATTTTTCACAAATTATTCAATTACGTTCAAGTTGCATAGACAACAGAATAATTAAAAGATCAAGGTTCGGTAAATTTCACCATACAAATAATTATACCACCAAAGTTTCAACAAAAACATGTCAGATTATTTGTTTCTTTATTACAATTATCAATAGTTCCCTTCACAGTTCCCTGCACCATCTTAAAAGATACTGTAGCCGTGTCTTTGCATCGAAGTGAGACCAATGGTGACCTTGCAATGACAGAGACCTTTTTTTTGACACCTTGAACAATATTATTCACATGTCTCTATCATTGCAAGCTCACCGTTTGTCTCGCTTCGATGCAAAGGCAGGGCTACCTATCAAGATGGCGCAGGGAACTGTGTAAGGGACATTAGAGTGCAAAGTAATAAGTACAAAATAGCACCAATAAATCAATTGAAAACAAAAGATATATATGTGTTTAGAGTTATTTACATTTTTTTTTTTTTTGCTATTTCTCTGGTATATGGTTTGCACTCTATCAATGACACAATAAAACTTATACGAAATTCTATTGTTGAGATACTAGAACGTGATTGGATAATTTGTGAAAAACTTGTTTGGGTGGCCTTGGTTCAAGTAGTTGCACCTTAAAACCAACTGAGTGATGCATAGTACTTACTTAATAGACTGGAGAACTGTATCTCTCTGTTCTGCAGCTTTAAGTCGAATCTTTTCCAAATGTATATCCTTGTTTTCTCTTTCAATTTTTGCCCTGTGCAAATAGGAAAAATAAATATTGTCAGGAACATCTTAGTAAAAGAAGTGAAGAGATATAAAGAAGTGAATTAAAATATTTAGTCAATTTAAGTCGATCTTTATACCATGCGTACAAACCCAAAACCAATGCAGAAGCAGCAGTAATGTAAGGAAGTAGCTAATAATTATGCGTTGGCAAAGATGAAATAATAACAAATGTCTAACTTATTTTATTTATTTGATTAGGCCCCAAAACAGTTACTGAGGCACTCCACATCTTACTGTATTCAACATATGGACTAGTAACTTCTTAATAGTCATTTTAATTTCACATAAAAAAACAGCTCTAAAGAGAGGAGGTTATTAGGAGCTCTTAGGAGAGTGTGCACACGGCCTCGTGCTTTCATCAGTTTCTCAGTTACGGAAAAAAACTAAAATACCAGGTGAAATGAAAACTTACTTTCCACGCAACTCTGCTTCTAGTCTTTTCATCTCATTTCCATGTCTGAGTTCTGCTTCATACTTAACAGTTTCTAGATTAACAAAACGACAAAATAATAATTAACAAATAGCTACAAATAGATGTGAAGGACTCAAAAGGCATCCAATTGATATTGCCTTGTTTGATAACTTCAATAATTCCAATGACAAATTCAATCCATAAGTATCTATAAGTACCTTCAATCTATAAGTACCTTTTCTCATGGATTCTTGCCTCCTGACAGATTCTTCTTGTCTTAATAGATTTTCTTCTTGTGTTTTTTTCTATGGAACAATTCAAAATGACTTAGTGTTTCTACACTAAATGATGACACAATCACTCACAAACATTACCACTACGTTCAGTATTTAACCTGTATATCTTACTGGACACGTAAATTCCCCCTTATGAACTGAGAATTCTGTTACAGGAGGAAAACTGAACGAAAATATAGAGAAACAAACCTCTTGATAGAACAGAGAGATGAACACAGAGCATAAACAAGCATACTAGGAAATAATAACTCTCTTCATTCTTTATCACTGTTGTTATACAATAGTGCAGCGCAACCGTTACTTCATAAAAACGAAGACAAAGGCGAAATTCCGACAAACAAACTTACAAGTTTACTTTCAGCAGATAATTTTCGCAGTTGATCTTAGTTTACATGGGTTATTGTAATTTTAAGTAAAAATTATCAAATCGGTTCATATAATCCTCATAGTGGTTAAACAGAATGCAATGTTTGTTCAAATCTTTAAGCTATTTTTAGAATCAGTGCGCTGCACTATTATTCATAGGTATCAAAAATTGCATTTCAATGCTAAATAATTTTTGTTATATTGTACTTTATTTTTCCGTTTTTTATGTCTTTCATTATTTATTGTGTAAAAGTTTTACCTATGCCCCATAGGTGAGTTCTTTCCCTTTTGGGGTTATAAAATGTACCGAACAAATGTGTTGAAATAATAATAAAATACATAAATAAAAGCATGCATGATGTGACCCGGGTTTGAGTCCAGCTGAGCTCGGTGTTGTATGGGTATAATAATAAAGTATAAAGGACGCCACACAAACTACAACTCTTCAGAATGATAGTTATCGTGCTATGATTACTGTGAGACCATCTTAGAGTGACCTGTGTGACCTGAGGACCAGTGTACATGTATTAAAGCATTCAATTGTTAAAACGCGTCACTGCATGTTGGTCACTGATTGAACCAAAATGAGGTTGTTTTGATAGCGTAAGGTTTTAGGACAGAGAATGTGACATGTGACTTCTTATATTAAACTCTTTTTTGTAATTTAAGCRTATTACATGATACGAAAGAGTTAAAAAGAATGTTTGTATGTGAGTAGAGTTGTTCGTTGGTTCTCTACTGTGCTTCATGGATTTTCTGGGTTCCCCGGCTTTCCTCTCTCCGCAAAAATCAACTCCTAAATTCAAATTGGAATTACAGTGGATGAAGAGCTACTCTGTAGAAATGCCACTGCTAAATCCCATTTATTAATTATTTATTATTATTAATAGAATGTGATTACCTGTTGTGCTAGCTGATCACTGTATCTTCTTCTTGCTAACTGGTCCTCATATTGAGCTCGCTAAGGTGCACAATAACAAAAAAAATAACTTTATTAAAATGTTCACAATGAAAATCATTAGCACTATTAAACTCTAAAATGTGAAATGTATGTTGGCCCATTTAATTTTGCAAAGAACGTGCATGATGAGGGAAAAGACCATGCCTGATATGAGATGGTATCAGCACTAATCATCTGCTTGCAATCTGGTATGATATAGTTTAGAGGGCGTTTGAGCATTTTTTTTTTTTGCAGAATACAATGATAAACAACTTATCAGTCACTTCAGTTGCCTAAAGGCTCGCCAAAATACTATGTAACTGGTAAAAATACACAGCCATATCAGATGCTTAGTCAACTGATAACCTCTTTATATCATAACTTGAATTCAAAGAAATTGCTTCCATGTTGAGAAAATTTATAAATTCAGTAAAATAATTCTCCTGGAAAATTTCTCCTTCTGAGGTATCAACAATGGAAGAGGAGATGAGCTACACTGCATACCCAATGGAAAAATAAGAACACTTCACAGGCCTCGGAGCAATGTTGTAGGGCAAAACAATAGAGTGTGTGCAACCCAACGACTTAAGGTATGAGAACTGGGTACCATGGGCCCCGTGTTGTTCATCTCAAAGCGCATGTTCAAAAGGATCAATTACCAGTGAAATACTCTCGCATTACACACGAAGTAAACAAAATGGCTTCCTTCGATACAAAGTTTAGCACCGTTTTCTAAGAAAACGGAACAACTAAACTCCGAGAAATCGAGAATATGGATTCATATTATCGTAAACAAGCTAACTGGTTACTAAAAAGTGAGGATTTTTTTTCAGCCACAACTCAGGTCTCATACCTTAAAATCACTTGAGATATGAATAATAATGAAACAACTGCCATGTTGGTTTCACAGTTTAAAAGGGACATAAAGACATGGCTCTTTAAGCAGGCCTTTTATTAATTTCTTTTTAATAAATAAATTTATTTTAACCAGTATCTTTATTTTGTCTATGATGTGACTATAATGTTTAAATGCCGTTAATCTTAATCTTAATCTTAATTTTGATTTTAATTAAAAGTTACTGAAAGTTGTTTTCATAACATTATTGATACATTAATTTATGGTATTGAAATATTGCTAAATTATTTTTAAATTAGTATTGTTAAACTGTTTTATTATATCCTTTTAATTATCATCTTACTTTCTATTTATCTATAATGAATATTTTTTGTATTTTGTAAAGCGCTGTTGAACCGCTGGGAATTGGCGCTCAATAAAACATTACTTATTATTATTATTGGTTGATCAAGAGAAGCTGCTTTGCTATTGTCAACCAAGATGGTGGTTATGACACAACATGCACCTGCTCTATGGAAATTTGGGATATGGAATCACTTGTCAAGCAAAAACTTGCATGCATTGTTTTTGCCCATTAACATGCCTATGGTGAAAGCCCTTTATTTCCTACCTTTGTTTAATAATTACGTTGAATATTAGACATATATACAAATGTATGTACCTGTTGATGCTGCTGAGTCTCAGCTGAAAGGGTTTTCCTTTTTTCTTCTTGCTCAACTCTTACTTTATCCATCTGCATTTGCTGCATCCCAGCTTCGAATTCCTAATTCATTAAAAGTCTCTGATGTCAAATCATAGACAATGGTTAAAACCCAGGGTATTGGTATACAGCTAGAAGATTAATGACCATCCATTTTTTTACTGGCTTTCACAACACAGTAGAAGAGAGGTTACACATAACGTGTGATTTGAGCTAAAATAAGTGTGTGATAAATAAAAATATAGCAAAATTCAGTGTGATTCAGGATTTCCAGGTTTTTTATTGATACAGGTATACCTGTCAACTGAATTTCAGAAATATCGATGTGTGAAATGTGATGCTTTTCATAGTTAAAAAGCATTTACGAATGAATTTTATTTGATATGTAGCCCCTTTTTTCCTGGTCTCCTAAATGCTACCGACCCATAACAAAATGAATAAACGGTTTCTCAGATCCAAGAGCTAACTAGCCATTCCCTTTCTTCCAGGATAAACATAAATAAATAAAATTAAAAATTGTCTTTCATACAATAAGGGTGGATGCAGGAATTTTTGAGACGGCCGTCCAAATGCATACTAAGCAAATCCTGTAGGATATTTTGGCAGCCACTCGTCATACACGTTTCATAGTCAATTGTTATTGGTCAGTGAAACAATAGCCTGTTGACTTAGGGGGAGGGTACAGTGAGATGTTCGTAATGATGGTAAGATTAGTCATTAGTCAATGGAGTGGATGTGTTAGGTATCGAACTAAGGTTCTATAAAGGAATTTCGTCATGACGTGTAATTCTGACTGAACTAGAAACAAATTATTGGCACATTTTGATGGTTTGAGCAGGCTGCAGTGTGCTACCTTCCCTAATTTTAAGGAAAACTTGCTCAATATTGACTTGAAACTTCACAGAGTCCCAAAAGAAATCATAAGATGCAAAGTAAGATCTTTATTTGCATGAGCTTTTGAATTTGAATTTTTACTGTATTTTGACACTAATAGCCACAGCTTGGGCTACATGTGATTCCTCTAGGATAAATGGATCAATTTAACATCAGGTATGACAAGGTGGTAAGGACACCTCACCCCTGACCCACCACTGTATATTGGAAGGGGATGAGGGGAGGGGAATTCTCCTGAAACCATGTATTTAGGTATGTACATATTTGTACAACATTTTTAGTGTCTTGACTTACTTTAATCTTTTGTTGATGTTTTAATTGCTTGGTTGTTTCTTGGACTCGGGCTAGCTCTAAGGCTTGTGATGCATTTGCTGCAAATCAATACGAATATTCTATAATACATATATAGCTTACTTACCACAAGAGGTTAATAGGAACGTACGAAGTTATTCTAGCTGCAAATACGTCTAGATTGAACACTCAAACAAAATCTCACGGGGAAAATTAATACACGAAGACAAACTCACGAGATTTCTCTAGCTCTTTGGCAGCTTTTGCAGCTCTTTCAAGCCCAGTAGGATCAAAACTTTGCCATATAGCTTTGCCAGAACCTTTCTCCTTCGAGTCTTTCTTGTCATCCTTGTCACCCCCACCACCGTCTTCTCCCCCACCTGATGGCGGAATCGGCAGCTGTGGCGGCAAGGTTGGAGGCGGAGCACTATCCTTCTTCACTCCAAACATCCAAGACATGATAAAAATCGATTTTTCAAAGGGCAAAAAAGGAGATTTCAGTGCAGAATTTGATGATGAAAGTTTCCACGTGCAGAAAAAGAGCCGGCTAGGTGAAACCTCGTTATGGTGCTCATATCATGCCCGCTGCTATATAGTATCGTCGGCTCAGTTGCATATTATATGAGAAAAAAAAAAAAGAAAATATATATCAAAAGTAGTAGCAAGCTTGTAGTAAATAAAATGTTATCTAAATAACAAACTATTAATAAGTACTAAATGAAAAAATCAAAATAGGAATTTTGATAAAATATTTTTTATTCTGAATTAAAGAGCAGGGTTTTTTTGGCAGGTTTTTGTTTTAGCGAATAAAGCTTTTTATTAGAGGGATAAGGGAATAATTTAGTACCGGATAGAATCTTTTGAATAGTTTTTATTAAAATTAATATAAAGTTGTGTAAGTTCTATTTTTGCAGTGACATCACCACCCGGAGTTAATCAGCTCTGATAGGCCTGGGGATAGGGACGTCATATCCAGGAGGGAACCAGCACGTAGGCATTTTGTCTGCGCATGCGTGCAAATATAAGTTTTAATAGAAAAACCGCTGAATTGAGCCTGCAGAGATTGCCCAAGATGGCGGAATATTTTCTGTCTAACAGCGCTTGTTTACTAGTTCTCTGTGTCCTTTGGAGACCATTTAAAACGCTATCGAATGGATATT